CCAGGCCCGGGGTCTTTCCTGCTCATCATGGGGTCCCGTCTTGTCTGCATCGATCAGAATTTCTCCCAAAGCCTAGATCGTATCCGGCAACCACTCAGGAACTCTGACTGAGACACCACCATTGCCAAGTTGGGGAAACTGAGGCCAGGGTCTTGGTCCCCTGGCAAGCAAGGCTTCCTCCCTCTGTGGGGTCTGCAAGCCCCAAGTCCCACCCTGTGCCCGTGCCATGCTGCCCCACTGCCCCTGCTGGCACCTATTGGGGAACCAGAAACACAGTTTCACATATTTAAGCAAATTTGCTGCCGCCCAGCAGGGCGTCAGATTCTACACACTCAGGCGCGAGCTGCCCAGGGCTTCTCCTTCCCTAGTCAGCCGAGCCCCTCCAGCCAGGGGTGCAGCATCCACGGGGGTCCAGGGGCTCCCGCCCGGCCAAGGTCCAGCAGCTGAGGCCCAGGATGTGTGCCGGAAACACCGAGGGTGGAGCTGAGGCAGGGGCCACTCGGCCCAGCCCGAGCCTCTGACCTCACCTCTGTCCCTCTGCTGGCTCCTCCTCAGTCCTTGTTCTGATTGCTCCAGCCCTGCCGTTAGGGAAAGGGTACCTGCAGGGTCCACAGCCCAGAAAGGGCAGGGCTTGCGTCTGCCCCTCCCCGAAAGCACGGCCCAGGGTCCCCCACCTCTGGGTCCACCCATCGCCTGCCCCACCACTCGTGGGCCTGCTGGAGGTGGTGTCCCCACCACATGCAGAAAGAAGCAAAAGGAAAATATATTTAAAACAGGGCTGGGATGCCAGGCACAGTGGTGCACATCTGTTATCCCGGCACTCGGGAGGCTGAGGCAGGAGGATCCCAGCGAGTTCAAGGCCAACTGAACTACAGAGTGAGACCTTGTCTCAAAAGAAAAAAAACACCAAAAGCCAGAATTGGGGAACAGAGAAGGAGCAAGCCCTGGGAAGGTGGGGACGGGAAGGCGGGAGGCCTCTGGTACTGGAAAGAGGTCTCTCTGGGCCCTTCTGGCCCCAACTGCACCGCCTCTGCCCTCCATCAGAACAGGCAGCACCAAGGAGCTGTCCCTGGGGGCCCTGGAGCAGGGCGACACCGCCTGGCCTTCCCTGTCTGTTGCTGGCACAAGGTGTCAGCGCAGGGAACTATTCTGGTCCTGCTGGGCCCTGCCTCGGGCATTTCAGGAGGCGGCTGAGGGGAAGAACCGTGCAGACTCCCAGCTCCTGGAGGAGGTGAAGCTTCCAGAGCCAGAGCCGGGGCCGGGCGTGGGGACACCTGGGCTTGGGGATCTGCCACCCTGAGCTCGCCTGGATCGAGCACCTACAAGGGTCCCGCGCTGTGCTCACGGAAGTCCCCTGCAGGCAGTTTCTAGCCCTGACCTAGGGAAGGCGGTTCAGAGAGGCTGAGCCTCCTGCTGAAAGTCACACAGCGAAGAATCCCAACTCCATCTCTCCAAGGTCTCCAAAAACAGAAAGTCTCATGTTCACTCCGTTCAACATGGAAAAAACCAAGGCACGCGAGGCTGAACACGCTGATAACCGGTCTTCCACGAGAGCGGAACCCATGCTCCACCCCAGCACTCGCAAGTTTTTGACCGATGCGTTTCCTCCCGCAAGCTGGGGAGATGGGCAAGGCAGGCAGAATCAGCTCTCTCTTTACAGATGGGGAAACTGAGGCTGTCTTTGGACAGCCATTCCCGTGCTCCCGGGACCCTCAGCAGTAGCCCTAACCTGCGAAGGTCTCCTGGAACTGCTGGACTCCTGTCTTCCCTCGTGCTGTGGGCTGCAGAGGACCCTGGGTGTACCTGGGCCCCCTGGATTTCCGGTTCACATGCCAATCCCAGCCCAGTAGCTGGGGCAGGGCCTGGCAGTCTGAATGGCCAATAGACCGACGCTGGGGTCCAGCAGGGAAGGCCTATAGGATGTGGCCACAGCCACCCTGCCCCTGCTGGGTCCCCCTGGGGCCTCCCTCCTGCCCCGCCATCTCTCTAGAGTCTCAGGGGATTGGGTTTGTCCCCTGGGCATAGAGCCAGGGCTCCCCTGGCACTCACAGGTGGAGGCCGCTCTCTGGAGCCTCATAGGTCACCCCCATGCCCCTATTGCCTCCCCAGCCGGAGGGATCCAGGGAGCCACTTCTGCCCTCTGCCTTTCCAGCCCCTCCAGGCCCTGCAGCTCCTGGCCGGCCTCTGGGCCGAGCCTGGGAGTGGGGGGCGGGGGGTGCCTGGGAGTGGGGGGCAGGGGGTGCCTCTGTTTCCCTCCTTGAAATTTCACCCTTGCTTGAGAGCTTGTCCTATGAATTCTCCTTGTGCGCTGAGAGCTGATGGGTTTTTATTTATTCATTTATCTTGCCCTCACCCCTCCGCCCCTTGCTAACTGGCTGGAATTTACAATTCAGTTCTCAGGTGGCCTTGCTGCATCCAAGGACAGGCGGCCTGGAGCGGGGGGTATGCACCCGAAATTGGAAGGGGTGGCTGATCTCTGGCCCTCCTTTCCACTCTTGGACTTGTGCCCCGGTGGGCTGGGTGCCGGGACAGGTGGTCCCACACTTGTCACAGGAGGGGTGAGGCCAGCAGGAACTCACTGCCGGGCTAAGTGGACCCAGGGTGGGCTGGCCGCCTCTACAGCACCCCCTGGTGGCTGGCTAGGCACCCAGGCCCTGGTTGGAGGAGTTAAAGTCCCTGTGCCAAGGTCTGCTTGCCCTAAACTGGAAATGCAGGGCGTGGCATCTTCAAGGTAAGGCAAACTCCAAGGGAAGGGAAAGCCCAGAAACACCGAGGAGTGAGGAAGAAGCTGGCAGCAGCCGCGGCACACTGGGTCTGCAGGGATGCAGGCCACGCCCAGCCAGGCGCCCACCCGCTGCCGGGCTGGGACCCTGCTACAGTGTTGCCACTGCGAGAAAGCAGAGGGCGGCTCCAGAGGGGCTGGCAGGCCTGGGCACACCGGGTGACCTTGGCAGGGCTTAGGCAACTCCTTCCAATGCTTCACAAGGGATTAGAGCGGGACTCACCGGCATCCTGGAGATGATTAAATGGGAGGAGCCACACCAAGTGGCAATGTTGGGGTTCACATCCAGCCTCCCCCAGCCTGCCTGCCTCTGTTCTGGCAGTGCTACCTTCCTCCCTGTCCACACATTTGTAACCAGAGGCAGAGCTGACGGCAGCCTGTCATGAAATATTTACATCCATCAAACAGGTGGCGGAGGCCAAGGACGCAGAGTCTCGGGGGGACACGGCTCTTCCTTCCCTGGTGCTGCTCACCTGTCTCCCGGGAGACCGGAAGGGGCAGGGCGCCGTGGCTCAGCTCTGTGGGCTCCAGCTGAAGCGCAGCTGGCCTCAGCCAGGGCAGGGCCTCGGGCTGGCATCTGAGGCTCTCCCGGGCCCTCGGGCTCTGCATGCAGACCAGGCCTATGGGTCACACTCTAACGGCACCTCGCCCCCACTCTCAAAGGTGGTGATTAATATTTAAGAGGAAAGACACAGTTGAGACCACACACGAAACAGAGGTTGCTTCTCCCCGGGAGAGCAGGACCGGGGCCCCCCTCGGCTGCACCCCACTGCCAGGGCCCAGGGCACTGCTGCCCTCGGACTCTCCACTCTGACTCCAGCCCTGGGCTGCGTTTCCTCTCCCTCCCCGACTCCCCGGCTGGTTCTGGCCCAGCTGCGCCCCACGGTGACAGCCCTATCACCAGCGACAAGCCCAGGGAAAACCTAACCTCCCAGGCTAGCTGAAGCCACCCCACGAGATGAAGTCCAGGGTGGAGACACAGGCAGCTGCCAGCCCTCGCCGTCTCCTCCTGTGGGGTGAGGGGCAGCCCTGCCCGGCCCCTGCCAGGGTCCAGGCTGCAAACCCCAGCGAAGTTCGAGGCCTCAGAAAGTGGTTCAGCTCCCTGACTTAGGGGTCCCCTCACAGCTTCCCCACTTCTGGTAATATGACCTTGGCCGAAGTTCTCCACCCCTGCTGCCTCAGTTTCCCCTGGGTTTGACTAGAATGGCAGCGGCTGCTAGATTCTACTGGGAGGCGAGGGAGATGCACTGCAGAAAGGGTAAACTGAGGCAGGCCAGGCTACTTGCTTTGTCCCTGATCCTTTATTTATTTATGTATTTATCTGATGCAGGGTCTCGCTATGCAGTTCAGGCTGGCCTTGAGTTCACCTTGTAGCCCAGGCTGGTCTCGAACTCACAGTGATACTCCTGCCTCAGCCTCCCATCTGTCCCTGATCTTATTTTGAACACTTTTCATGGAACCACGGACTCCTTATAACCATGTGATTGTGTGCGCTGTTAATGTGCCCATTTTTACAGGTGACCGAGCAGTCCTACTTTCTACAGCACGGACAAGCCCGACGGGATGCAAGGGAGGACAGGGAGTGACAGGAGTCAAGCTGTCGGCGCCCAGGTTCCAGGGTGGCCCATTGAATGACTTCCGCTCTCATCACTGCTGTGGCCACCATCACCAAGTACCTGCGTATCCGAGGCTGAGTCCCCTCACTAACTAAAGACCCAAGTCACGGTGCCCAAACACCTGCCTTCCTCCAGCATCGCTGTGGCGGGGTAGGAGAGGGGCTGGGCTGCACCGTCCACCCGGCGTGGCCGGGCCTTCCTGCTCAGGAGCCCCACGGAGTTCCCCGGATCTGAATCAGCGCAGGGCTCAGCACACCCTGGCCTCACAGCGCTGTCTGCACTGGGATGGGGGGTGCCAGGAGGATGCACCAAGGAAGGGGTAACCAAGTCAGGCCAGAGTGCAACAACAGGGCTAAGAGACTGTCCTCGACGGCCTGGCTTCCCGTGAGGGAGGGGGCTGGCCTGCAAACACCAAGCTCTTCTTCCAGAGCTGAGTGGACACTGCTCCCACCGGGAGAACGTCACATGACACCAGGGCGCTTGGGTGGCTTTGCTTCTGCTCACTTCCAAGCCGGGATAAAGCCCCTGCCCGCGCCCATCCCGTAGTCCTCCGGGCCCTCTCCCCAGGCCTGGCAGTGGGTCTGGGGGTGGGGCTGACTTACGTGGGAGCAGAACCTCTCTGGGGGGTCCCCGCACGTGATGCCCTTGGGCTCCACCTTCACCTTGACGTAGTCCTTCAGGCGCATCACCTTGGGCTGGCAGGCGTAGAACTCCCACGTGGGGCCCTCATCCGTGGTCACCCAGGATTTGCAGATGTCATAGTCCGCGGAGGCCAGGGAGAGGCAGCGCAGCAGGAGCGGCAGCAGGTGCAGCATGGCTGTGCAGGCCTCGGGGGCGCGGCCCAGACACGCCCTGGGGAGGCAGCCGCGGGCTCAGGCGGGACTCTGGGCCTCAGCATGGAAAAGCCACATGGACCGGGCGGCAGTGGCCGGCATGTCCCAGAGGCTTGAGCGCTGCAGGTTTGCAAACGGCGAGGAACTCGCTTTTCCAGAAGGCCGCTGCGAAAAATTCAGAGCCAGCGTTTCTCAAGACTGCTGATGGGCAGAGGAAGAAGTCGCCCTGGAACTTTGTGTCCTCCTAACCTTGGCGTGGACACCTCCCCCGGAGGTGAATCTGATCAAATCAGGCAGGCGCTCAAATTGTGAGGGTGAAGGGAAATGGGATAAGGAGAAAATCCGCAGGGATCCGGGTGGGCCTGGGTTGGGTTGCTTTTAATTTTGTCCTTCCAATCAATCCAGGTCTTTAAAGGGCCCTTAATGTATAATGCGCTCAGCACCACCATGTAACAGCCCTCCGGCCTGCAGGGTAAAGATAAAATAGAATCAGGAGGTGTACGCGTTAGCTGGGAACCTGCTCTCTCCGGGGCCGGACTTGGCCTCTCGGGCCAATAAAAGAGATTTCTTTCCATAGGGGCTGAAGGTGACAGAGATTGTATGACTAGGCTACAAAATAAAAAATAAAAGCTTTGAGGTGTGAACGGGGAGGTGACCTGGCTCTGCTTGGGTGGGGACAGCTGCTACTACTGGCCGGCTGCCCTCGCCTGGTTGCTAACTTATTACTAAGTTTCTGTGACTTCAGTCTTCAGTTCATGGGGTACCTGGGGGGGGGGGGTCTGGCTTGTCCTTCATTAGAGAGGGAAGGAGGGATGGAGGGAGGGAGGGAGGACTCATTAGCAACAACACCTGCAACAAATTAAAAAGGGGGAGATTAGAGATGCATAAGAACAAAGCTCTCTGGCAAAATGTGCAAAAAAATGAGGCCGGCTGCATTAGCAGGTCTCTGGAGAAGATGGGGCTGTTTGTGTTAATATCAGGCATGCTATGCAAGCAGCGAGGTGCCGGCTTGCATTTAAGGGGGTGTGAGTTCAAAGTGGCTCTGCTTGAGGGTCAGAGATGTAAAGCATCCCCCAGAGCCAGGATTTAATGGCTGCTTTCAAATACCAAGCCCGACAAGTCAAAATGTCAAAGTTGTTAAAGCAGCCTATGAAGCTGTAACAATAGGTACGGGGGACCCTGTCCACGGTGGCGGGCAGAGGAACAGGGTTCCACATCTGAACCGATGGTGGAGAACTAGGCTCCGGCAGACAGGTCGGCACAGTCTGACATGGCGAGTTTAATTTTTTAATGGGCTAAGAAAGTGGGATCTTGAAGACTTGCACAAAGATGAAAATGTTTCAGGCCAAGATTTTACAATCCGCTTCAGAGGGTAGGTCTATAAATGGATACTATCGTGACAATGGCTTTACTATTTGAAGCCTCCAGTAATTATGTAAAAGCCCAAACAGACACCACTAATCCGAGTGTCCTACAGGGAAAACAGGACTCCGGGAATGTGGTGGGTTCCCAGGCACTCGCTACCTCCCTGGGAGGATTTGGGCCCCACCAGCACGAGACCCCAGCCCAAAACACGGGCCAACGGGGCAAAGGTTACTGCAGCAGCTTCAGCCAGCGTCCCAGCCACGCACAGGCTGGTTTTTGAGCTGGGGAGCGTTGAGTTTAAATTCCCAAACCATGCACATGTCAGCCCGGGTCTCACCTGACAACCTGGTGAGCCACCAGACAGGGAAAGTCCCCAAGGGGTTAACTGTTTCCACGACACTCAACACCCAGACACAAACACACGCCTGCCAGAAATGACAAACTGGAGGGGTGGGCGCAGTGGCCTGTGCTGGCAGCCAGCAGAGAGGCTCAGCTCTGGGAGAAGTCACCAGCCAGCACCCCGGCTCCAGGCCCTCCGGGGGGACTCCTCCGCCTCTCAGGGTCCCGGCGGCCCTGCCCCTGGCTCCTGATGAAGGCTCCTAATGCAGATGAATGAGGACCCGGAGCTGGACCACATTTTCCCATCTCACCCCGGGCTGCAGCAGGAGAAACCTGTTATAGCGTCTGCCCGGCCTTGAATGTGCGCCTTGCTAGAAAACTCTCAGAAAAAAAACGTGCCCGGCATCTATTTTTACAACCCGAGAAAATGTAGTAAAAATAAAAGAGTGGCCGGCAACGGCTTGGAAGCCTCTCTCTCCCTGAGTAGGCTCGAGCTGCCCAGAAAACAGCACGCCCCTAATTAATTCTCCCAGCAGCAGACTCCCGACTGTTCCCGAACAGGTAGGGAGCTCCTGGCGCCTGGGGACAACTGGGGCGCAGGGCTGCGGGCTGGCAGGGAGGAGCCGGGCTGCAGGCGGCTCCTGCAGGACCAGCGGCTGGGCTCGGCTCAGCGCAGCTCGGCTTGGGGCCGGATGAGCTGGTCGTGGTGGCGGCCGGGAGGTGGTGAGGCCCAGAGGCCGGAAACAGAGGCCCACCCGGGTGTTGCAACTTGCAACTCTGCTAATTGCTTTGCAGTTCTGTTGGCTTAAATACCACACATTCCCAGGAAAAGGGAGTGGGGGAGCCGACAACAAAATCTGCCTGGGGAAAACGTGTTTACAGTCATTCAATCAACTGGGCGTTGCTGGCATCCTAGGGGGAATTGTGGCTCAGCATTCAGATATGACTGGGTTTTGCCAAAAAAAGAAAAAACAGGGCAGGGGCGGGAGATACAAGGAACCCCCCTCCCCATAAGGAGGAGGACAGCAGCCAGCGAGAAGCCAGCAGGGAAATTTCAGAGTAAGAGGTTGTATCCTGGTGGATCGTTTTCTCCTTAGAAAATAAATCTTCACCTGATATTATTAAGAAACTGCAGTTCCCAGAAACAAATAGAATCAATGCGCTTTATTTTCTTTTAAGAGTCCTCAGGAACCGAGGGGGGCTGATAGCCAGGGTATTAAAACCTGAAAATTAGATTTTATCAGGATTTCTGAACTCAGATTTCTCTGTCTTATTGAATTAGCGCCTCTGGGAGCTGGCTGGGCTTGCGACCTGGCTCCTCCTGGAGTAGCCGGCTGCGCCTTCGCCTCGTGGGAAACTTGTCCCTGCGGTGGGGCGCGGGCTCCTGGGGGATGTTGGGGTGAGGACGGGGGGGACAGTGTCCCTGGAGGTTTCTTTTCTCTCCCCAGTCAGGCAGTGGAAGCTGTGGAATCGGCTTTGAGGAGGGCGGGATGGGGACGGGGAGGGCAGGAGAGCCCTTTCAGATCAGGGTCACCTTCCGTCTCCCGCCCTGGGCGGGTCCCTGTCGCTACCCAGTGCACACCACCCGCTCCCGCTCACACAACCCCGGGATTCCCGCGTCCCCGGTGCATCTGCTCTGCAATCACACTTTCTCTCTGCAGCCCCGGAAAGTTGGGTGCACGATGTGTAGCAGGAAGCAGTATCCCTGAGCGTCTAGGGGCTGGGGATGGGGCCGGGCCGCGCTCGTGGGTCCGGGTGCGCAGGCAGAGGCGCCCCAGTCCGCAGACGCCAGGAGTCGGTAGAGTCCACGCTTCAGCCCGCTGCAAACCGTGTGCATTGCACATGGAGACAGGCAACCCGGCCGCTGCCTTTGCATTTCAAAGTTGCACGTGAACCACCCGAACAATTAATAATCAAGCCTTTCATAAAGACCCGGCCAGCATCGAAGTGGCTCCTTCCTTCGGCACCACTTCCCTTCGCGAAAACACATCAAGCAGCAGGAAAGCACCCAGGAATGCGCTGCACCCCCTTTTCCGAGCGCTGCTACCGGCAACGACCCCCAGACAAGACCCGCGACCCATTCCAAGGCGGATGCACCCGCGAGTCCCGCGGTCCAGTTCCTGCCTTCCCCCTTCTCCGGCTGCCGGACTCCAAGCCCAACTCCACGCTGCGCTCGGGCTGGTGCCCGCTTGCTCCCCACCTCCACCTACCGAGCCCCTGCGGAAAGAAGGCACGGAAAGAAGTTTCCAGCTGGCGGAGAGTTCGGGGCGCAACTGCGCGCTTGACAGTTTGCAGAGGCGAGGGCGCGCGGCGGTTACAAGGGGGTCCGGAGCCGCGCCAGAGGAGGGCGACTTGCTAGTGCACGCTCTCAAACAAACCTCCTTGCAACACCCACCCCCACCCCTCCAGCCGCACACACGAAGGAAAGCGCCGGGCTGGGGTGGCGGTGGAGGCGGGGTAAGCAGGCAGGAGAAACAGCGACTCTTTTAAGATGCAGCTCCAAGCGCGCTCACACCCTCTCGGGCCACTCCAGTCCCCCGCTGTAGCAGCCGCTACCTAGTAACTTTTGCAGCCGAGCTCGAGCTGCACGGTGCCGGAGCCTCTCGGGGCCGGAGAGCTGCACGGTCACCAAGCCCGGAGCGATGCAAGCAGCGGCGGGGCTGCAGCCTTACCCGGCTCGGCGGCTCCGGGGCGCAGACCGAGGCCGCCGCCGTCCTCGTGCGGCGCTGGGTGCGGCGAGGCCGGGGTGGGGGGGCGTCACGCCGGGGCCGGAGCGCCCTGGGGCCGCCGGGGGCGCCGCCTGCTGCTGTCCCGGCCGCTGGGGCCGGGGGAGGGGGCCGCGCGCGCAGCCCGCATCCGAGTCCGAGGTCGCCAGCTAACAAGTGCAAACTTTTGGGGCCCCCCGGGCGGCTTGGGGAGCAGCCGCGCTCGCGCGCCCCGCAGCCCCTAGCCTGGGTGGGCTCCGCGGCTGCTGCCGGTCGGGGCGCCGGGACATCACCCCTCCCCGCCCCAGCAGGGCGCGGGCCAGATGGCTGGGCGCTCAGGGCCCCCCCGCGCGCCGCTCCAAGTTAATGCCCAGGCGCAATCCTCTTGCCATCTCTGGCGATCACCATCGGGCTTTTATCTCTCGGCCTGATCCGGGCTGCGTAACTTCCTCTGTGTGGCTCTAACACACCATCCCACCACAGAGCAGCGGTCTTCTTAAAGGTGCAGGGAGGAAATACTGCGAGGCTCCGGGGACGCCACGGCCCGGGGAGGGGCGCGGCGAGCAGGGGCGTCCCCGAGGGCCGGCGGCCAGGAGAGACCCCAGCAGGCGGCCGCGGGAGCGAGCCTGCTCCTGGGCTGGGGGGTCGCTGCCTACACATCGCCTCCGGGCCCGGGGGCCAGCGGGTCCCTGCATACAGGGCGCATTCTCAGCCGGCTCGGGTCGGGCGCGGCGGGGCTGCAGCTTCCTTCTTCAAAAGCCGGGGGCCGGGGTGGGGGCTTCCGGGGTGCCGGCGCCCGTGGATGTGGGGCTGCCCCATTGGCACGGGGAAGGGGGCCGAAGAAGTCGGGTCCCCCACCCCAGCAGCCCAGGGCGCCAGGCTGCTTTGCTGCCTTTCTCTCTCTGCGAAGGGCTGCACCCAGAAGGCCCGGAGCAGTGGGTAAAGGGGTGGGTGGGTGGATTTGGGGAGATGGGGAGGGGGAGCATCTGAGCGCACAACCAGAGCCTGAACACCAGCTGACACACGCCGCCTCCACCCTCATGGGCCCTGCTTTGCAGAAGCCAAGCCAGCTCTGCAGGGAGTGCAGAGTAGGGGGTAGGGGGCTGGCTGGGGGCTCTGCCTCCCTGGGGCAAGGCTGCCAGGAGGCGTGGGAGGACGCTGGCAGGGTGGGGGCGGGGGGCACTGAGTTGGCACCGGCGCGCAGCCCTGGGCTCTCTGGCCCCTGGAGGGTTCCTGCCAGGTTGCTTCCCGGGGCTGTGTGGAGGGAGGGCTTGCACTGTCTTCCAGGTGCGCTTGTGGTTTGGGGGTGCTCCTGGCCTCCTCTGGGTGGGTTCTTACTGCAGTGCTCAAGCAGCCAGCACTGTCATTTGGAAGCATCAAGAACAAAGGGCCTGAGGACAGAGAGAGAGAGGGAGAGAGAGGGAGAGAGGGATTGGCCCAAGGTCACAGAGGGTGCCAGCCATGGGAGCCAGCGCTCCACCCACTGCCCACCCTGCCTCCTCACCCCGCCTTACCCCTCCCTGCTGTGCCCCCCAGCCTGCGAGCGGCTTGTGCTGCTGAGTATCACTTAGAAGCTGTGACAAAGCAAGCACAGGGTACAGAGTTAAGGACCGTCATCAACTGTGCTAATAATAATAATATTTATTGAGCACCTGTTTTATGGCAGCCTCCACACCAGCCCATTTCTGTGTCTTATCCGCTGATTCCTCCCCAAGCCCTGAGACAGTGTGACTGCTCCAAGGTCACACGGCTCAGGAAGGGGCCAGCCTGGGCTCCTGGGCTCTGGGAGGCCAGGTAGTGGGGGTCTGTGGCTGCCTGACTTGCCGTTAACCGGGATGTGACACCTCATGCTTCCAGGCCTCAGTTTCCCCATCTGTGAAATGTCAACTGGGGCCAAGGAGGGGTCCAAACAGAGCCATGGACTGTCTGTACCCGCGCCTGCTCTCTGGTCCTGGCATCTGGAACATAGGTGCGGGCCATCCCTGTGCCCCAGCGCCCTGGTCTCAGACACGGAGCCAGAGGAAGCTTGCAGAGAGGGGAGCTCCGCTTGTGCTCTTAGAGCCTTCGCCTGCAGAAGGGCAGACCCGGGGCCTGGCATGGGGTGAGTGATGACCTGGCCGCCCTCAGCCTGCTGTCCCCCCAGGCAGGGTCATCAATCCCTGAAAACAGCCTGCTCCTCCATCATCGCGGGGCCTGGGTGCTGTCAGCATCGGACAGCAAGACATGCAGGAGGGTGCTTCCCATCGCGGCCAGCCAGACACAGAGGAGGGCCCGGCGCAGCCCCCCCGCCCCCCGCCACTGGTTGGCCAGGCTGGGCCGAGTGGCCTGGACACCAAGCTGTGCACACTAGAGACGGTTCTCAAATGCCTCTCCAGCAACCTCAGCAACCTCCCATCCCAGCGCGCCCTGACTCGGCATTGAGCTGAGGCCAACAGGCCTTTGCCAACAGGCCTGTGCCGGGACCCATTCCGGAGGAGCCTGCCTTCCAGTCACCCCGCTGGCAGACCCCGGAAGTCACGGGGTAGTGGAAAGAGCTCTGGGATGGGAGTCAGCACCATGGGATTTTCGTGGCTCAGCCCCTAAGTAGCTGTGTGCTCTGGGTGGAGGTCTCTTCCCTGCTCCCTGCCTCAGTTTCTCCATCTGCACCATGAGGGGATCTGTCCCGAGGGTGGTCCTTGGGATACAGCTCTGAGGCCACACTCCACGCAGCGTGCTCCTCTTCCAGGCTGAGGGGCAAGCGAGATTTGGCCATAGAGGGACCCAGTGGCCGGGGATCGTTCATTTTTGAAAACTACTAAGGTTCCTTCGGACAGACGACCTTTTCTTGGCAGTAAAGAGACTCAGCGTGGCAGGGTCAGGAAAGTGTTAATGAGTCTCCCCCCAAAATCATTGCTGGCTCTCTCGCCCCCAGCCTACTCATCTCCCGCATCGGTGGGATCCAGGCTCTCCAGCGCAGCTCTCAGCTGAATTGTGTACATGGAGTCTACTATCAAAAGCATTTGCAGAACAATGCGTTGAATTTTATTCCTTCTCCGTTTTTTTAAAAACAGGATGTCGGATAATCATATCTACCCGGACAAAACAGATCCTGTGTCCATTACATTACACACACGCTCCAAACCTATACACCAAGGTGTGGACGGGGGACAGGCCCCGCGAGCTCCATTGCACGCATCCCCCTGTGCTGCTCAGCTCCTTCCCGAGGAGGACGCAGGCACGGGATAGTTAAGTAATAGAAAATTATAAAGTCAGACGCAGAAATAATCTACCAGCCCTGACAGGAAGGTAACAGATGAGAGCTGGGTGACAGGTAATCCAGCCCTCTGGGGATTTTGAGGGAGCCTGCAAATCCTAAAGCTGACAGACAGAAGGACAAGCAGATCAAAGGAGCTGGTGTGGATGCTTAAAGGGAGTGCGGACTCCAGAGCCACCGCTGCCACCGTCTCCCCCAGGCCTGGTTCTCTCCATTCCTTTATGCCAGGCCGAGATTTGGCTTCTTCAAGAAACTCTGTCCCCTTGACCTTGAGCAGCTGAGATGCAGATTAGGGACGAGGCAAGAGCCTGTGAGCTGCCCAGGACCATCCGGGGGTTTCAAGATCTCCTTGAGCCCCCCTTTCCACAGCCAAGGCAGAGCGGGAGGGGGACCAAGACCCCGGCCCAGGGTGCTCCCCAAGGTGACAGCTCCCAGCAGTCCCAGAGGCTACCAGAAGCCCCCTGGCTCCTCCCTGCCAGTTCTGGGCTCTAATCTCTAGACCATTCTCCCATTAATTATTATTACCGAATTAATCATACATGTGATTAATTCAGTAATGGTGATTCATAATTGATTGCATTTTATATGGTGCCTTTCATCCACGCATCCCCCAAGATGTGCGCTGCCTACAAGAGACGCATAAAGAAAGCAGGACATGTTCCCTGCTCGTCGACATTCTGCTGGATGAACTTCTCCCTGCAGAAGCAGGAGCTGTTGGTCTCCGTGCACACTGAGCCTCCCAGCCCCATCTGTGCCCACTCCCGGAGCCTTAAGTCTCAAGCCTCACCCCGCATTGCTCATGCCGGGGAGTCACAGGGACCCCATTCTCTGGATGGGGGAGGCTGGTCACTGGATGAAGCCAGTAGACTCCCAGAGGAGACTGTCCTGCAGGGCAACTCTGACCCAGGGCTCTGGAGCCCAACTCCCTGGCTTCCTGATTCTGAGGAAGCTGTTTCTTGTTCTGCCTCGGTTTACCCAAATTTAAAATAGGGTCCATCATAGCCTCCGTCTTTCTAGGGTTATGATAAAAATGAAATGAGCTGATGTCACAGTGTGGCCCAGGAGTAGCATTTGTAGGAACCTTAGGCCTGGATCTACTATGGGCAGCTTGCTGACTAGATCAGTCTCTTTTCTTCTCTGGGCCTCAGTTTTCTCAGCTGTAAAATGGGATGATGAGTCAGCCTAGACGGTTGAGTGGCTGCAGGGACAGCTGGGACCCGGGGCCTCGAGCAGGAGAGCCACAGGTTCTCGAGCCTGCCCACAGTTTCCTAGCTCTGTCTGTGACCGCGGGCCTAGGACTTGCCTTCTCTAGCTTTAGCTGCTGCCCTGGAATATGAGCATCCGAGGATGCCCAAAGACCCAGGCTCGGTGTGAGGGGCTGAAGAGTGAATGCTTGAAGCCAACTGTGGCTCCAGAAAGAGATTTGCACGCTGGCATTGGAGCCGCACTCTCGGACCCCAGACCCCTGTGCAGCAAGTTCCTGGCGGGCTCCCATTCCATTTTCCACCACACTGGGGAGACGCTGCTTTCTCCCCACTGCCCAGGCAGGGATACTGAGGTGCAGGACCCTGGTGTGTGATGGGGACCTGGGCTCATTAGTCTGGATTTTCTCTCGGTCCCAGCTGTCAGCAGAAGGCCAGCTTGCCGGTAGGCTTGGTGCCCTTGAGGGCACACAGCGAGCTCCGGCGGCTCAGGTGGCCCCTGTGCTGAGTCTCTTCCCCGAAAGCTTGCCTGAGCCTTCCACATCTGGGAGCCTTGGCTGTCTCCTCCTGAGTTCCAGTGCAGCACAGTGTGGAAGGAAGCGCTCAGCTCCCCGGAGAGGGAGGCTGCTGGGAACAGGAAGTCCGGCCCTTCCCCCCAGGGACTAGCTGGGGTGCAGCGCCAGCACACAGGAAAGGGCCCTTTGGTGCTCCTTGTGTTGGAACCCACAGTCCCCGGGGGACGCCTCAGGCTTCCTAGACAAGATGCAAAGGGGCACTGAGGGATTGGGTACAGTGCTGTATGCCGGGACTCCCAGCACTCAGGAGGCTGAGGCAGGAGGGTCCCTGTGGGATGAAGGCCACCCTGGACTACATAGTGAGACCTGGTCTCAAAAAAAGAAAAAAAGCAGCACTTGATTCCCTCTGCCAGATAACAGAGAGCCCCACCAACTTGGGCCCCAGAAGACACCTCTCTGCTGGGATTCCTGGCTCCCTGCTGAGCACCTATCGTGTGCAGCACCCTGCTGGACCCCCAAGGAGCCAGGGTGAAGGATCCATGAGCTCCCCCATGAACCCTACTAAGACCTTCTATACGCCGGCCGCAGGTCAGCCAGAGAGGCCACACAGGATGAGGAAGTGAGTGTGCAGGAGAGTGTGCGTGTGCACGACCTGTGTGTGCAGTGCCGGGTGCGGGCGGGGTGCCAGGCTGCAGTGCTGGGGAAAAGCCCGCCAGGAGACCCCAGGTGGCGGTGGAGGTGGATCCTGCAGCTCAGGGCAGGAGGCGGGGCAGCTAGCACCCAGCAGCAGGGACACCACCTCCCGGGCCTCGTGGGCCTCAGCTTTCTCATTGGGCCCTGGGGTTTCTGCGAGCATTCACGAGAAAGCTGTGGGGCTGCTGCTGCCCAGGGCGGCTGGCCTGCAGACCGCACATGTGCTAGACGCTGGCTCTGCCTCACCTCGGCTTCTGCTCCAGGGCAGGCTGCTGTGGCT